TTGGTGTATTGATAGACACATAAATAATTCAAACTGTTTAACATACTCTCATTATTTTATAAAGATAAAAATATSATCTAAGTCTTTCTATTCCCAGATYGATTTTCMCTTATAGAGCATTTTYATTATCTTAGATTTTTTATATAACCATATCACACTTTCAATTCACTAAATGTTTCATGTCACATTCTAACAGGTTTGGTATTTCACATTCTTTTATTATTCAGATTGAATTATAAATATTAACCTACTTCAAAAACTTTTTACGGAATCCGTGGATTAATACCATGTAAGTTGATCTTAATACAAACAGATGAAATATCWAACTTGGTAGGAAAGAAGGAACATAAAAATCTTTTATCCTTCATTACTTAGTGATTTGCCTCATTCCAGAAACAAAATCTATCACAGTCATTGCATAGTTTATCCCTGGTTTTGTGTTCAGACATCTTGAATTTCATTATGACATTTGAATAGAAATATTGTTTGAATTGTAATTTAAGCTGATAAACTCCACCCTTGGTTCATACGCTTATTTGATCGTCCTACTTGAATATCCATGGACAACAATGGAAATATTGCAGGAGGCATAAATAATCTTCACATTGTTATATTTATACTGCATGTTATATATATACTACAGTGACATATTCCTCATCATAAAAACACTGGCAATCCATTCCTTTCATGCACTACAGGCATACAATGGAATCATAAAAAAAATCAGTATGAAAATAGATTTCAATGTTATCTCTTTTATGAAGTATGACATTAACACAATGGAACAAACATTCTGATTCCCTTCCATTACCAGATCCTTACAGAAATGAGAACAAAGCCTGCTCACCTCACTGGCAATCTCCCTGGAGGCTTTGGCAGATTGAATGGGAATGGCATCATAACGCATATCATGGCCCTTCTTCTTYGCCTCCTCCAAGGCCAGTTTGTACATTTTCTGCGAGARAAAAAYTCACACTTCAGTTTCAAAACCTAATTGCATTTCAGTCAAGTACATCTGAGTTATAGAACTATTCAAGTCCCTAAACAATATTGTTGATTCTCAGGCGACTTAAATGTCTTGAACCCAGCTCTATCTTCTGTAGAAAATAATAAAAATGCAGATTTCAAAGGCCTTGTACTTTTATTGTAGGCTCCTGTAAAATAGAAATAATTTAGGGAAGGCAAAGCAAAACTAGTTATTTGCATAGCTTGCTGCAGAAATGAATTCTCATTTATGGTGGATAATATATTTTAAAAGCCCAGTTAAATAACAAGGAGGTCAGTTCCTGGAACAACTCTGATTTCAGCATGGCAATTGACCATTTGCTAAACTAAACAGCCTGACAATATTTCATAATTAAC